TCCCGATGCCAGTCCTCACATCACCTGGCGCCCAGCTTCCCTGCCTGAGCTGAATTAATGTTCCTCAAAAAGGCAAAAACCATCCATTGCCCAACCACTTTTTTCTTTTGTGAAAAAGATTAAATTACTTAAGCATACAGGAGCTGGGTGCAGGTCAGAGGTGTGCGGAGGGCGGTGAGAGGACTCCCCAGAGACTGGGCAGCAGAACAGGCGGACGAATGAAGTCCACTGCTGAGGGGAGCAGGGGGCAGGTCCCGAGAGGTCTGCTGCGCCCTGGGGGTCAGCTCCGGGTCAAACTCAAGCTAAAGCAGCTGTGGCCAGCTTCATAGTGCTGCCCTTTAACCCATTTACCACCACCAGGGAGGGCTCATGCCCTCATCGTAATGCGCTTACGTCTGCAAAGATTCGAGTTCCAAATGAGGTCACATGTGCAAATTCTGGGTGGTGATGAATTCAGAGGGACACCCTTGTCCCCACCCCAGTGAAATGATCCTGCCACTAACCCAGGTCTCCCCATTTTTAAAGATGATTTATTTGTGCACACAAAACTGGGGTACAGGTCAGAGGGACAGGTGAGGGGATGAGAGGATTCCCCAGAGACACAGCGGGGAGCACAACAGGAGGATCCACTGAGACCCACTGCTGAGGGGAGCACAGGGGAGACAGGAGAAGTGTGCTGTGCGCTGGGGGTCACTGCCTGGCCGGGGATCGAACATGTGCCACAGTGGCTGCAGACAGTTCATAGTGCTATGCTTTTTCAAAATAATTTTTAAGGTCTAATTATTTATGCATACAAGAACTGGGGTACAGGGGGGATGTTTCACCAGCAGTAGAATAGGGAACAGAACAGGTGGATCCACTGAAATACACTGCTGAGGGACGCAGGGGGTGAGAAAGGAGAGGTCTGCTGTGTCCTGTGGGTCACCTCCCCGGTCAGGGATAGAACTGGTGCTGCATTGGCTGTGGACAGGTTCATAGTGCTGTGCTTTAAGTCATTGCACTACCAGCGAGGTTTTAATGTTGTCTAAGTCATCCACTCTACAGTATTTTTTTTAAAGATTTATTTATTCGTACAGAACTGGGGTACAGGCCAGAGATGCGGAGGGCGAGAGGATTCACCAGGGACAGTGGGGAGCAGAACAGGCAGGTCGACGAAGTCCACTGCTGAGGGGAGCAGCGGGCGGGTCAGGAGAGGTCTGCTGCGCCATGTGGATCTCCTCCAGGGCAGGCAGGGATCGAGCTCAGAGGGAACAGACTTCAGCTTCTTTGTGCTGTGCTTTCACCTGCTGTGCCACCAGGGAGGGCCATTTTGTTAAGATTTATTCATTTACACATACAGAACTGGGGTCAGGCCAGAGGTGCAGGGACGGTGGACGGTGAGAGGCTTACCAGAGAGAGTGGGGAGCAGGACAGGTAAGTCAACGAAGTGCACTATTGAGGGGTGCAGCTGGTGAGACAGGAGGAGCCTGCTAGCCATGTGGGTCACCTCCTTGGCCCAGAATCGAACTCGCACAGAGGTGGGTGCGGCCAGCTTGCAGTGCTGCGTCCTAACCCGCTGTGCCACCAGGCAGGGCCATTTCTTCCTTTTATTGTCTGCACATTACAAAAAAAAAAAAAGCTTATTTTTACATCATTTTGTACATTTGTTTTCATCTCAATTGTAATCCCCGTGGGTTTCCCATCACCCAGTCACTCGTGTGCCATCACCACAGTCCAGAGCACTTCCCTCCCCCACTGTTTCTCTGCGCAGTTTAAACTAAGTCTCGGAATCAGTGCATTTTCTCCTAAATAAATCTGATCATCTTTCCGTCGGCGATGTTTTCCTGTTGCTGTTTGTTTCTAAGACCGCCAGTCTGAGAAGTCAGAAATGGCACAGGAAACGATGAAAGTCTTTCTACGTGTACTCCCCTGGGGCAGGGCCTCCGGGGCCCTAGTAGCAGTCACTGTCACTGTCTCTTCCTCTCCGTGAGGCACACTTGGAGGCTCCACCTCCGGACCCGACATCGCTGTCGCCACGTCTCCAGTCGTTGCCAAGTCCAAGAAACAGTTTTCCGTGCTCCGGTTACCTGCTTCCCGGCAGCAGGGGACGCCGCCAGTGCCGCCGCCGCGCCGACCGACCGCGCTTTTCCCAGGCTTTCCCTCGCTCCTGGATGCCCCGCCCCTCTCTCTTCGGGCACCGCTGCGCACTCCAAGGGCGCGACTCCTCGGGTCCCCTCCCTGGCCCTCGACGGCCCTCAGGGGTATCGGGGAGAGGGCCCAGGTCCGGGGAAAGGAGAGCACTCTTGCGCGTTTAAGCAGCAAGAAGATTAACACTGGGAGGGGCGAGGCCGTGCGGGTGCAGAGCGCCGGAGAGGCGCCCGCCCCGCCCCGTCGACGGGCGGGCGGGGTGTGGGAGCAGGCCGAGCTCGGCCCCACCCCCTTTCCCACTTGAGCTTGCGTGCCTGGGGCACGTTTGACCAATCAGCAAAAAAGGAGCGGCTGTGAGTGACATATGCTTAGCCCAATCATCGGTGACCATGGAGAGCCGGCCTGCGCTCGGGCCAATGACGGCGCGGGGCGGGGCTCCGGGGGGCGACGGTCACCTGATCCGCGGCGGCAGTGGAGACCGAGGCAGCGGAGACCGAGGCTATGATGGCGGCGACTGCGGCGGCTCGGGTGCCGGCTGGGACGCGGCGGGCCCCGGAGCTCCGGCAGATGCAGTGGCTGCCGCTGTTGCTGGTAGCGGCGGCGGTGGCAGCGGCGTCGGCGGAACAGCAGGTGCCGCTGGTGCTGTGGTCGAGTGACCGGTGAGCATGGCGGGCTGGGCTGGACGGGCTGCGCCCCGCGCGGCGGCGTGGGAGATTCCCTCGCCTCACTCCCGAACTGCCCGTGGCGAGGGGCAGTGAGGCTCAGGGAAGACAGTCGCTTGCGCGGTGGCACGTAGCAAGTGGGCCGGGTTAGGAGGCCGAGCCCCAGGCGTCAAGCGGGAGTCCATGGGCTTCGATCTCGAGCCGTGCACCCCCGCTTGACAGCACCCACTTCTGTCCCCCGCCAGGGACTTGTGGGCTCCTGCCGCCGAAGCTCATGAGGGCCACATCACCAACGACATACAGCTCTCCACCTACTTAGACCCCGCCCTGGAGCTGGGCCCCCGCAACGTGCTGCTGTTCCTGCAGGACAAGGTGCGCCTGTCCCAGCCCTGTCCCTGTCAGCAGCAGGGAGGCGGCCCCTGCCCCCAGGACACTGAGGCCCATTCTCCTGGTGAAGCTTCAGTGACCTTGTTCCAACTGTAGGGCGGTGTGGCTTCTCACTAAGAGAGGGTTCATTGGGAATAGTGAGTGCCCCCAAATGCCACTGACTTGATTAGAAACCAGGGGTCAGAGGCCTACTAAGTACCTCGCTGTTATCTGACCTACTCTTCATGGGCCCATTTTATACATTAAAATACCAGATGCCCACGGAGGGTGAGTTGCACAAGGTCACACAGCCACTGAATGGGCGGGTTGTGATTCTGAGTGTAGTAGTTGGAGGAGAGATGACTGAGGAATCATCATTTCCTGAGTGCAGTGTGCTAAGCTGACAACATTGTCTTGGTCTGACTGCTGGAAATGAAGGCTGTAGGAGCAGAGGCAGGCTGTAGTACCCAGTGCACGCACAGCACATTTGGGTGCAATGCGAATCGGTCAGACGCCGCCCCCAGCCCTGCGCCTCCCTAGAACTTGTGCAGTCGTAGCCAGCACACCACACCGTTTGCCCTCATGGCTGTGCTGTGCCGCCCGGCGGGCAGGCAGCGGCAGGCATGTGGCCTATAGTCCTTCCTCGTGGCAGCTACGGTAGGTGGACGGGAGCTCCGTTCTATGACCTGTCAGCTTCGGACATGTAAGTCATCCACCAGTGCACCCTCTCTGTCTGTAAAGCGAACACACTGCGTGCATCGGAGGACGGTGGCAGCGGCTCTCAGCCTCCGCAGCAGCTTGCCGCGCCTGGCCCTCCCCGCGGCATTCAGCACGTGCTGTCGAGTTCCAGGTATTAAGTGGCGGGGACAGAGCAGTGAGCAGCATGGCCCAAGCCCCTGCCCTGAGGAAGCGGACATTCTCCTGAGGGGACACGGAAGTGATGGTCCTTAGATGTCAGCGCTGCCGTCTTTAGAGAAGAAGGAAGCAGGCCGAGGGCACAGATGCCTCAGACAAGGACTCACTGAGGAGGGGATCTCAGTGACCAGATGGCAGAGGGGGCTGCAGGGCTGTGGAGGAAGGGTGTCCCACCCGCAGGGACAGCAGGTGCAAATGCCCCAGGCAAGAGTGCTCTCAGTGAAGAGCGAGCCAGAGTGGGGGGTGGAGGAGGCGGCCAGCCAGGTGGCCAGGAGACAGGGAAAGGCCAGGTGCCCTTTCTAATGCGACTGCAAGCTTTGGGCCAGGAGAGCCCGCTAGGCAAACAGGCTTCAGGGTCCTGCCAGAGGGAGAGGAGGCTGGGCAGTGTGTACACTAAACAGCGAGTGGGGACCCTGGTCAGAACAGTCTCCGGGCTGCGCTGGGAGAAGCCAGAGGACACCGGTGGTTGTGGTTGTGGTGGAGGGCGGGGGCTGAAGGGCGTCTCTAGGTTGCACAGGAAAAGGGAGGGTGTGGCCTTGCTGTGCCCAGAGAGCTCAGGCCGAAGTGCTTCCTCTGGCATGGCCCGAGGCCACATAGCCCCTGCCTTGCGGGCCAGCCTGGACAGAGGTGGCTCCAGCCACAGCAGCTGGCCTCTGGGCGCCCCTTTACCCCCATTCCATCCATGCAGTGATACTCCTTGCTGCCCCGCCTACCCCCGCCCCCGTTCTTCTGTCTGTGGGCATGCAGCTGCTGACTCTTACTCCTGAGGTGACGGACTCAGCCGCCGTTTCCTCCCAGCCCCATGACTGCCTTCCGTATTTTCTGGCCCTGCAGGGCAGGAGATTCAAGAAAAGGAAAACTTGCCATCCCCTCCCCTCCATCAGGCCCACCCACTCACTCTTTTGACCAGACCCAATCTGACTCTAAGTGAGATTCTGCTGGCCCGAGCAGGCACACAGAGGTGTCTGTCGCGCCTGGCCCCGCCTCTGAAGCTGTCCCCCCTGCTTCCTCGCTAGCTGAGCGTCGAGGACTTCACGGCTTACGGCGGCGTGTTTGGGAATAAGCAGGACAGTGCCTTTTCTAACCTGGAGGTAAGCGCCTGCCTCCCGCCGCAGCCGCGCCGGTTCGCGCCCTGCGGCATCACGGCAGCTGTGTGCCTAGCCACGCAGGCTTGGGAGGGGAGAGCCGAGGGCCAGGGGCTAGGCGCGGGGTGTGTTTATGCTGGCGAGGAGCGATCCCTTGGCAGGGGAGGGCTGCCAGAGAGGTGTGGGGCCCACCTACCCCTTGCTGATGCATCCTGTGGCCTCTCCCCAAATCCAGAATGCCCTGGAGCTGGCCCCCTCGTCGCTGGTCCTTCCTGCCGTCGACTGGTACGCTGTCAGCACTCTGACCTCCTACCTGCAGGAGAAGCTCGGGGCCAGCCCCCTGCACGTGGACCTGGCCACACTGCGGGGGCTGAAGCTCAATGCCAGCCTCCCTGCCTTGCTGCTCATCCGCCTGCCCTACACGGCCAGGTAGGGTCGGCCTTCAGCCTTGAGCCTCGCTGCCACATTCAGCAGGAAGTCTTCCAGAAGGTGTCCTGTGTGCCCGAAGAGGCCAAAGGGCCAGACTGCTGTGACTCGGGGAGCAGTGTCTGGCTGCTCTGACCCGGGCTCCAGAGGGAGGCCCATGCGGTCCTGCTTGCGGGTGCTGACTCCGCAGCCGAGTGAGGCCTCTTCATGGCAAGGGCGAGGCTGAGGCTGGAGCAGGGCTGTGAGGGAGAGGGAGGAAGAGGGGTTGGGGGGGAGGGAGGGCAGAGGTGCAGAGGGGAGGGATGACCTGGCCTCTGCGCTGGGGGGTGGGGGGAGCTCTGGCCAGGGTCCTGGCCCAGCAGGGGATGGTGGCCTGGAGCAAGGGGCCACAGCAGAGACTGGTGGGAGGTTGGTGTGGGTGGCCGAGGGGGTCCAACACTGGGTTACTCCTGCAGCTCGGGTCTGATGGCGCCGAGGGAAGTCCTCACAGGCAACGGTGAGCTGCGTGGGATGAGCCGCGTGGGCCCGTGACTTTCCCTTCCTTGTCCAGCCCTTGGTCCCGCCTCCCTGAGGGGTGGTCCCATGGTTCCCAAGGCAGCGGGGCCCAGACTGCTGCCTCCCAGTTCTCCCCTCCGCCTGCCGCCCCCCCCCCACCTGGGCCCTCCTGGCCCAGGTAAGGGCCTTCAGGGGCTCTCCACGTGAGAGCCTGTGGCGTGCGGCAACTTGGGTTCTGGGGTTCTGGCTTAATGCGCCAGTCACGACTTGCCTTCACTAGAGGGGCGGCCACTCCCGTGGAAAGGCAGAAGACGCCTTCCGTGGATTGTCTCTTCTTGCACTGCTGAGCTGGGCTTGGAGTAGGGCTGAGGCGTCCGGGGAGGCGGGCGGGCACCCGAGAGCTGGCTGTGGGGACAGAAGGAGAGCAAAGCGGTGTAAGGGTGCCGGGAGGCCATGTGTCCGTGGCCACTGCCGGGACGTGTGTTTGCCCCCACCCCGATGATGTGTTCTCACCGACGGTCACTGACCTTCTCTGCTGTCCTGTTGTCCCCAGATGAGGTCATCGGGCAGGTGCTGAGCACGCTCCAATCTGAAGATGTCCCTTACACCGCAGCCCTCACGGCGGTTCGCCCTTCCAGGGTGCGCATCCTTCTGGATCGGGCTCTGGGAGGGGCTGGGGGCCCGACACCGGGTGGCAGACTGGTGGCTCCTGTGGCCTGCCTGGCAGCAGCCCGCGGTCATGCCCAATCAGCCTGACAGGTTGGCAGCCCTGGGCGCTCAGCCCAAGTGTTGTGCAGCTGGGGGACCAGGAATGTCAAAGGCTCAGGACCAGCACGAAAGGTGCTGAGTGACTGCTGGGACTGCACACGTGCTCCGTGGGAGCAGGAGGGTGGGCCACTGGGCTCGGGCCTTCTCAGGGTGCTGACGGGAGACTTGTTGGCTGTTTCTGCAGGTGGCCCGCGATGTAGCCGTGGTGGCCGGGGGGCTGGGTCGCCAGCTGCTGCAGAGACAGTCAGAGTCAGCGGTGATCCACCCCCCTGTGAGTTACAATGACACTGCCCCCCGGATCCTGTTTTGGGCCCAGAACTTCTCCGTGGCATACAAAGACAAGTGGGCGGACCTGACCTCCGTCACCTTTGGGGTCCAGGGCCTCAACCTGACTGGCTCCTTCTGGAACGACTCTGTTGCTAGGTAAGGGTGACATGCCTGTCACTGCTGTGGGTGGGTGTATTGGGGGCACGTAGGTGGTAGTGAGGGGTGCTACTGGTGGAGGGTGGGGTGAAAGGGTGAGGGAGTGGGGCTTCAAGTTCTGCCTCCCCTTGCCCTCTCATCCTTGGCTGGGGCTTTGGTGGTTAACGCTTCAGTCACTTGGCACTGTGGCACCACCCCACCGCCCCCCTCAAGGACCCTCAGGTGACTGGTTGAGGGCGCACGCCTAGTAGGCCCGAGACGCTATGGGGATTCCTGTGCACTTGCTGGGTACAGCCACAGACATTCCCTCACCCCGAAGCCAGACTCAGGCAGCCCAGGAACGCCAAGCGGGAGCTAATAGGGGACCAGTGGGCTCGGGGGAAGCAGAGGGGAGTCCTCAGTCAGAGGGCCGCCCCGGCGCTGTCCTGACCCAGGGTGTGACAGGGCCTCGGTTTACTGTCTGTCAAGGGGTGCTGCTGTCTCTTTGGGTGGCTGTGCAGCCCCAAGGCAGCTTTGCTGGGACTAGGTCAGAGGCGCTGGCTCTCAGCCGCCAGGACCTCCTAGCGCCTCATATGTCGTCACCTCTCACTCTGGCCTGCAGGCTGGCGCTGACCTACGATCACCTCTTTGGTACCACAGTGACATTCAAGTGAGTCCGGAGGGGTGGTGAGGTGTGGGTGGCTGGCATAGCTGCAACACTGCACCCCTGACGCCCCTGACTCTCCCCAGATTCGTGCTAGCCAGCCGCTTCTACCCGGTGTCTGCCCGGCACTGGTTTACCATGGAGCGCCTCGAAATCCACAGCAATGGCTCCGTCGTCTCCTTCAACGCCTCCCAGGTCACGGGGCCCAGCGTCTACTCCTTCCACTGCGAGTTTGTCAGCAGCCTGAGCCAGAATGGCAACCTCCTTGTGCCACACACACAGCCCTCTCTCTGGCAGATAGAGCTGCAGGACTTCCAGGTATGGCAGGTGCAGTCCTTGGGGGGAGCCCACGCGGCAGGCAGCAAAGGGCTGGGAGAGTGGCCACAGTGGGGCCCCATGGTCTCAGTGTTGGTTGGGTGTGGGTGGGGCGTGGGGTACAGCTGGGCAGCGTCACTGGTGGTCTGGACCATCCGCTGCCTCGGGCACCCCCAACCTTACTGGGCCCTCCTGGGGTAGGGCCACATAGTTCTTTCTGACCGGTGTCCATGTGCTCCCCAGATCCAGGCCTTCAACGTGACGGGCGAGCAGTTCTCCTACGCCAGCGACTGCGCTGGCTTCTTCTCCCCAGGCATCTGGATGGGGCTGCTCACCTCCCTGTTCATGCTCTTCATCTTCACCTACGGCCTGCACATGGTCCTCAGCCTTAAGACCATGGACCGCTTCGATGACCACAAGGGCCCTACCATCTCTTTGACCCAGATTGTGTGACCCTGAATCCATGGGGGGGTTGAGGCAGAGGGGTTCCAGGTGGTCCTGTCCCCACCTTGAGGCATGTGGGACCCAAGGGCTTCCCTCCTGCCACCATAGCATGAAATTCAAGCTCCTTCCAGCCTGTCTTGCTCCCTGTTCACCCCGAGGGGCTTCTGTGGGGCTGCTGCCCCATCTAAGACAAGGTGTACATATTATGCATAGACAGTAGATGACACTCGAGAGCGCTGTCCTGAGAGGGCAACGCACCTGCGCTTCAGGGCCCTCTGCCCCTCCGTATTTATTCTCATCTGCACCTGCCTCTTGCTGTTTATAGTGCTTTTGTGTAGTGAAGCCCCTCCCTCCGGCTCGCTGGGGCTCCCTGTGCCAGTCAGGAAGGGGAGGGTTCCAGAGTTGGGGGGGCTGTAGAAGTACTAGTACCTGTCCTGCCTGGCTGTCCTTAGCGTTTTTTGGTGACGTGCTAACCATAGCAGTGCACTGGGGTTTATTCCGTGGCCTGGGAAGGAAGGGACCACCAAGGCAGGTGGGCTGGGGGTGGTCGCTCTGTTTCTGGCATGTTGCGCGGGGGGTTTCCTTCCTACTACAATAAAGACGGGTCGCCATGCTTGGGCCTCTTGTCACTCATTCCTGCCTCGGGCACGAGGGATGCGCCCGAGGAGGCGCCCGGATGTGGTGGTGGCAGGCCTGGGGGACGGGGGCAAAGCCTCGCGGGGAGGGGGCACTCCGGGCCAGAGCCAGGGGCTTGGAGGGCGGCAGCCGCCAGGCCCCCATCGGCGCG